TGTGACCAGGAAAAGTGCTGAGGAAGAATAATTTGCAGCATTTGGTCTATTTATTATAAAAAGTATAGTTTAAGAGACTTGGTGTCTCCAGAAAAAAACACCATTTCTTTTCCTTACATACTAAACCAAAAACATATGAAAGAAGGAAAAAAGCGAAATTCTTCAAGATGATGAGTCAAAACGAGCTGAACATCAGAAAATTCATTTCTGAACTTCATACGCAAGCAGCAAACAGTAATTTCCATGAACAGCTGGATGTCAAATCGAGTGCTGACTTAACCACAGAGATTAGCACATTTTATGCAACTACCGAAGTGCTCATCACAAAATGTGAGTTTCTAGCATCAGTTGCACATACAAATTCCTCGAACGTAGCTACTACCTTGGTGATAGGGCTTCCCTATCGTGATGGCCCAACCGAGCTATATTGGTTGGAACATGTGTTCGTTTAGGTTCTACCATGCAAGATAGGTCGATTGGAGAACGGTAAGACTAAAAGAAGCAACTCAAGGTCTGAGGGCGAAGTCGTACTGCTGGTTGTAGAGGGGTGTGACAGCAGTAAGGTGCTTCCCTCAGGCAACCAGCATCTGCAGCGATGCTGTTTTCTCGCAAGGAAAGAAGGGTTAGAAAAAGTCGACTCTAAAAATGTCACACCTCACCTTACCTCACGGATTTCCGTCTCCGGCAGTGAGGCCCTCTTGAAGAACGGAGCTGACACGTCGTAAACCTCCCACAAAAAGGCCGTGCGCGACCGGCCTCAAGCAGTTGTCCCTTGGGCTCTGCGGTCACGCTCCCAGGTCGTTAAGGCCAACATTAATCCAACTCCGTTTTCAGGTTCCTCAAGAAATACCCTTTCACTGTGTGGGCAGCCGGGAAGTGACATCAGCCCTCACACCCGTAAAGCACACGAGACCATGTTGGTCAGAATCAAATACTTCCTACACCTCCTAATAACTCTGTTATCTCCACTACTAACCCTTCATACGTTCCCTTATCATCCCGCGCCTCTACTGCAAACGATTCGAGTACGCGGGACGTTACTCCTGGTCTCCTGAAACCACACTGTAAACTACATGTGGGAGCTTTTAACGTCCGAACACTATGCCAAATAGGACAACAGGCTTCCTTAACTAGGATTTTAGAATCTCGCGCCACCGACATGTGTTGCGACTCTGAAACGCGCATACAGGATCCAAGTGGCGCCATTCGTTCGACCTCACCATATCAAAATAAAGAACCAACTCGATTCACACTTCGTGTATCTGGAAGCCGTAATGCTGCTTCCCGGGGCATCGCCGTCGTAGGTATAGCATTGAGTCCTAGGGCAGAACTAGCTCTCTTAGTCTGGATCTCAGTAGACAGCCGTTTGTGCGCTGTCCGACTAAACGGAACAGTAAGGACTCGGAAAGATAGGGACACACGTCGTTGCCTTTTCATCGTCTCTGCCTACTCTCCCACTGACTGTAGCTCAGATGATGTAAAAGACGAATCTTACAGAAAGCTTACCGACCTTCTCCGAAAACCTAGGCGTCTTGATGTAGTAATAGTGGCTGGTGGCTTTAATGCTCAAGTAGGTAAACTAAGCGAAAGGGAAAGACACCTAGGCGGATCTTATGGTGTCGTAGCTCAAAGAACAGATAATGGCGACCGTCTTCTGCAGCTATGCTCAGATAACCGCCTGCTTCTTGCATTACTATTAACATTTGTAAGCCAGATTTAATTGATAATGCTGACAGTGATCATTTGCAAATACTTTATAGAAGCAGTTCAAACAACATTGAGTGACTTATTAAAAATCAATAATTGCATCCGTTTTTTTTTCTTATTTAGCGCTACATTATCATTCCTAATTCTTCTTTTTATGGTTTCATTTGTTCACTTTGTGTCTATCTTATGATAATGATTTAAAACTAGATATGAAAAATCTGACTCCACTTACAAATGGACGATTCGCTAACAATTGCCCAGCTATATTTCTTAGTAAATGAAGTACAATACTGTCCTCATATTATTTAGATTTTGTTCTTCATGTGCTTTTAGTCTACTTCAACTTTTAACTGTCAGTTCTTTTAGATAACCCCCAAAGCAAGAGACATGCCTTCGTAGTTAATTTATGCTCCTTCAATTTATCCTGTCATATGAACTCAACAACTGGCGTCTTTACGGTTTTCGATTATGAAAACGGACTAATAAACGGTGTATCATGCAGAAGTAATGTTGATGAGTAGGGTTACCCATTTCCCACCCTGGAAAAATGCTAGCACGTCCCTTGACTGCCGTGGGGTATTGTTATAAGTGCTTATAATTACACTGTTAAGCGATGTGCTAGACAAGCTCAACATATCGATTATATATCTCGACAGTTGTTGTGAGGTAAACCTGACAATACATTAGAATGATTATTGGTTCATCCATTACCATTAAGCTGTAAAGATCTGAACAAAGAAACTTATCGATGCCTTGGGTATCTACCTTGAAAAAAGAATGGAATGCAAATCTGGAACGTATATCTTCAATGCATTCTACCATACATTAAAAACTGCCTACCACTCCTGGTGGAATTGCGTCTTTAAGATCGTTTTTTATTTTTCTTTCATACAGTAAACTAGTACTTCATAGTACAAATCTAGGTGTTCAAAAACTTTTCGGCAAGAGTTACACACTGGTGACCTGATATAAATACATGCATCCTACAGCAAAAGACTCGCTGTCATGAGTGGAAGTAGACTATATATATGGCCGCAGGTTTTGCGGTCCATTTCCTGGTAAATATTACCTATTGTGGCCACTGATTTCCTCTTCAAGTGTTCTGAGGTATTTTTCATGACTTTGATAAACACTGACTACTGTTTATGAATTAAGAAATGTAAGCGTTGAAAGTATGTGCATGGTACCACTAGCTAATAGTATTTCCCACTTTGCAGTAGGTCCTGTTAGCAGTTAGCTGACCCTGTTATCTGTCCACCGTTTCATGACATTTCTGTTCTAATGATCAGGTGAAACAATTCTCCAGGACTTCATCGGGCTTTATTATAATATACAAAGTAACATTTAAAGGCATATTAAAAATGGTAAGAAAACCAAAGAGGAACAGTGCATCTAATATTACCATTATATCTTAGGATGGACTATTTATAAGTGAAGGTTCTGCTTCCTGTTTCACTGATGCCCTTACCGAACACGCATTGTAGGAACCATACAGTTCCCGCTACACTCTCTATGAATCAAGGTTTCTCGTCCGACAAACTTTTATAATACGAAACACGACTCGAAGCAAGAGAAAAAACAAAGACTGCAGATTGATAATTAAAATAACCATTAGTGTCATTGAATAACAAAAAGAGAATTCAGCGAAGAAAATTTTCTTTTCGATGAAATCATTTACTTAAGTTGTACATTCATATATATTTATTGGACACATCGTTCCCAAGGATTCTTTTAAAGTGATCTATAGAGTCAAAGGAATTGGATCGAAGGGATGTCGAATCAATATTTTGTGCACTACTGGGGCACTGGCAATTCACGAACTCAAGCCCGAACTCTGCGTGCAGAAACGACTTGTCCAACCTCTCATCCTTCCTTGGCCTTACTTCCCTTAATGGGTATGTTTCTGTTTTCTTTCTGCACTTTTATTTGATTATTATCGAAATTTTTCAAATTACTATTTTGCAATTTTAAACTCTAATCAGTTATTCTTCTTCTTATTATTATTACCTCATACAAGTTTTGTTGATTATTATTCAGTCTATTATTACGACTTTTGTGTTTGTCGTTTTTCTTCATAGTTGTCAATTGGACTACATTTTTCATATAACTATATATACGACTGTAGATTGAGTTATTTCACACCAAATAATATCTCATTATACCCACTTATATAAAGACTTCATTGCCAGTGACCTGGCAGATGATCAATCCATACTTAGAATCGTGAAAATACAAACGAATGTTGTGCTGAATTATTTTATGAATTATCGCAGAAACCCAGTTACAATAAAAAAGCATAACCAACTAAAGGAGTGCGTGATCTACTTAGTCATATGCTTGACCCTACTCTAACAATAACGATTGTATGGTTTACACAACTAAGTACGATAAACAGAGACTACAAATCGATACCATGATATGTTAAATTGCTACTGTTAAAATGCCGTGACTACTATTTTTAGCACAGCTACACATGTCATCTTACTATCTACTTCTATTTATCGTAGTTTATTTTGTACTATGCCTTACTGTTATCATTAATTCAAAATTCTTTTTGATTGTTTCAATGGTTACATACATGCAACCAAAACTACATATCAGAAAAACTCTGATAGTTAATTCATGAATATTAGAGTATCTTTTGGACAGATGCCGGCAAATTGAGAAGGGGAAAATTTGTGCCAATCCTAATTAAAATAAACGAAAGTTTCTCAATAGCTGAGACATATTTACATTGTTTCATTGCAAATAATGAACCCCCGGCTGATTAATGCTTATTTGCTTTTCCATTATTTACTATTTTAGTTTGGAGTGTAGTATCTTACACAAAACCATTGTATACAGGCTTACACCATATTCTAGTTGGTTAAACTATTAGATATTAATGCGATTGGGAAATTTGACACACCAAGCAAAACTAACAGCTAAATAATTTCGAAATTTGATAAATAAATCCTATTTCTATAAACCAGATGAGAACATTTCTTAGGCAACAGGTAATTCGTTCAGTTACTTCATTTTAGTATATACATTACACATAATTTGAATATATGCATTGCTTACTGGACAAGTGAAAATTTACAGCTAGTTTTATTTTTAGTATATTCGCATGGAGCTTTGATTGCTCCGAGGCTCCTGATGTAGGGCTTGTTGGACAAGGGCTTCAAATAGAACCTGTTCTTAAAAGAGCATTTGCTAATGATGGTCTCAATGAAAAATAGCTGGCCAAGACATAACAATTACAGAATATAAATTAATCTCAGCTTGAAAGGTGATACCATAACAAATAAATATTTATTATAAGTATTTATTTTATGTAAACAAAAAGGTAGTCAACAGTACAAAAAAGGGTTATGTTGCATTTAGTTCTGGATCTGTAAATCCTAATTGCTTGGATTCGAGATTTGTTCCGGTTGGTACTCGTTGTAATGCTGCGACAGTACAACTTTTCAAATTACATAGTTCTTCAATAACCGCTTTTTCACCAATAACACATCCTTGAATAGTACAACTAGGAAGAAGTAAAACGCCAATTAAAGTAGAGGAAAATAAAAGATTAGACAGTCATTAGATTAAAAGACGTAAAAGAAGCATATTTCAATCTGTAGTTCATGTTGACTAACTGCCTGGCTTAATATAATAACAAACAGATATCATAATTTCAAATAAAAGAAGCATCAAAAAAGTTAGGTGAAAGGACTTAAGGAAGTCAAAATTATGTTGAAGAATTAAGATATATGTGCTACTGACATTTAGTTTTGACCACGTTACACAAAACTTTCAATCATTAATATTACCATTTCTTAGGAAAAGCTGAAAGATCTCATAGGCTTAACAAACCGCAGTCGATGATAACCTATTTGTTCTTATAAAGGATGAACTACTAGATGATTTAACAACCTCAAGTAGTCTCTCTCAAAATTCTCCACCCAACTCTGTCCTCGACAACCCTTTCCAGTTGTCATTCATCCTTATCATATCTGCTTCCGTTTTCCGACGTAGTGTGTTCTTTAGTATTCCTCTTTTCCGTTTCCATTCAGGACTAAAAGTTGGGTTGCTGACCCCATGCCCAACCATCCTTCTTTGCTGGGGTTCGAAACCGGCAGTGACCGTGGTAGAGCTATAGGCGGAGTTGCGCCTGAAAGCAGAGCTAGCGTATTAGGGGATCATTAGTTAATGATAGAAACATAGAGTACTAAGTAAATTTGAGACCGACTGAGATGATTGATACATGTGTCCAACCACAACTATATTAATGCTGGTTGGCATAGAAGTAAGTTGGAAGAAAGCCAGGGGTATTCGAACCAAGAACTTGAATCAGTGTATGAAGTTGTTGATTGTCGGTTTGAGTAATGTTGACAGATGAAGATTATATTTGAGTTCCATGCCATAAAACTTATCTAAGGTTAGATATCTTAGGAAACATGGGTCAAAATCAATCATCGTGGTGCGCTCACTCTTTATTCTAGATCTTAAGTTCTATTGTTTTTCTGTATCTTTTATTTTAAGCTCATTCAATATTTCAAACCATATAGTGTACATTCAATCACCGATTTCACTATCTTTAAATATAATTTTTAATTAATTAATCTATTTGAACACATAAATATTGGAACAAATGGGCACTGAATGTGTATGCACCACACAAGTCGCTTGATTTGTTTGTGGGCTGTGATCCTGCCCGGGTACCCAGACCGGAGGAGGTGGTTGTCCTAGAGGCCCACACCCGGATCCTTCGACCTAATAATCTGATGCACAAGGCAGTGAAGCAACGTCAGGAGATGCAGTAGTCCCATGGTAGCCGGTGACCAATAATTGGTTCATACGCCATTTGTTCCCTCAGGATCCTGGTTCCCATGAGCATGAATGGTTTGGAATCAGGGTTTCCCAACTCCTGTAGATGGATCCTCCACGTTCAACAACCCGGTTAAAGCGCTTGATATTCGCTTGTCGTCCTTTCAATTTCGTAAATAACACCCCTGCCGCGAGAAGGCAATGAGTAAGACTTCCCTGGCAGTTGCTGTATGCATGTGGCCATGTGAGAACATTTCGAGAAAGAGAGCGGTCTCTCCCCACCCTCAGTCGTACCAGTGCATTTGGGGTATGTACCAAGGCATTTTTATTAATGGATTAAACAGTTATACAAACTTTACAATTCATAGGACACTGATTTCAAAACTTTAAAATGTACTTTCATGCAACATCTGAGCCATGTCTTGTGTAATCAGTTTGAAAGTCTTTGTATATAAAGTGGTGGCCCAATGTTCCTTGATACTTTATCAAATAATCGGGGTTATTTTTTGTCTATTTAAAAAGATATACACCTAGCAAATATTTTTATCCGACCAATCTAAAAACTGTCCCAGTTACACAATCATAGGATATGAAGACATTATTCACCCTCTTTTATTCCTACTCTGTCTATACTTATTTTTTCGATTTATAGTTTAGACACTATATTAGTCAAACTGATTCCTCTATGATTGTCACAAGGGGACTTCTGTCCTTTCTTATAGACTGGCACAATCAGTGATTGAGACCAGTCAGATAGGATAACGTCCAGTTCTCAAATTCTACCTAAGACCTTAGTCAATCTCACTGCTAATACTGGACGCCATCCCTAAAAATCTCAGGAGTAAGCCTGTCAGGGCCTGCTGCTCTCCCTCGCTTCAGATTTCCTATGGCTTTTTCAACTTCATAAAGAGTTGGAGGACTTATATTAACTTGCCATTCAGGTTGACTACCGATCGTGGGAAACCGAATTGTGGCTGACGGCCAGTTGAACTGATCCATAAAGTGTTCTGCCCATCGGTCCAATCTCCTGGATTGAGAATGTATAATATGTCCATCTTTCTCTGAGAGTGTTTCGCTAACAGTCAGTCTCCTAATACCGGTTTCCTTAACAAGTCTGAACAATTGTCTGCTATTTCCTATTGCAGCCACCTTTTCCATCTCTCTTGCTTTCGCTACCCACCACTGTTCGCGATCATTGCGTAGGCTTCTTGTCAGCCTGCGCTTAAGCTGACTCTGCTCTTCATCATGTTGAGAGCCAGATGGGATTAGTTTTCGAGCATCTACCAGTGCGGTAGATGCTGCTGAGATCCAGTGTTTCTTCCTAACCTTATGGTTCACTTTACTAGAAAATATCACTGCTGTTTCCACAGCTTTTCGGATATCATTCCAAGCTGCCTCGGGGTGGGCATCACATACATGGCTGCCTAACTGTTTTTCTAGTTGTTCCTGAAATATATTCTTAAGTTGACTATCATTAAGCAGGACCATAAGAGGTTTCCTTGCAGTGTCTTTCCTACGTCCAGTAAGATGCAGACAGATACGCGCTCGTACTAGAGCATGATCTGAATCTAAGCATGTGCTCCAGAAAGAGCGACAGTCTTCTATAGAGCCCCTCCATCGGTGGCTGATAACGATGTGATCTATTTGGGTTATTATTCTCTCTTTTATTCCCTTCCCCTTAAATTCTCATTGTTTTGTGTGGCGCATATATATTTGGCGCATTCTTGTATCAACTTTTATATGTTCAAATAAATAAAAGAATGTCATTAAACGTGAACTAAACCAAATAATAGCAAAAGATTCAGCACACTCGTAATATAAAATTACTCGGGTGATTTTCTAGGATTCAGGAGACTTTAGAAGTATTACAGAGGTAAACTAAAATTAGTATTAAACTCCAGTGCACAATTCTTACAGAAGTACAAAGTCATGTGTACCTGTAAAAATGTAAATGAGCTGATAATTTTAAAAAACTCAATATCAGCATATATTACAAAGCAGGGGAGTTGAAAGGTGACTACTTACTTGTCTCTAATCTCTACATTTGAAAGAAGAACGGAGTTTAAGATTCGTACATCAGCACCGATTTTGCATGAAGAACCCACAAAACTTGAGCGCATAAATGCTTTTTTGTGCACTGTACAATTTTCTTGGATAACATTAAATTCCTTTCCTGACTGTTGCGATCCAGTGTGAATGCAGGATTTCTGGATAATCTGTAAAAAGCAAGAAGTGACTGAATACTCAGTTGACTTATAAAAAAGACCATAAAAAGTCAAATGTCTTTCAACCTTGTTTTAAAAGATGCATTACAATACATAAATTGATAGAAAGAACCGGATTCATAAGACAATATTAAGATTTTTGATGAATATAGTACAAATACAAGTGTGGTTGATTCTAAAGATATTATAGCATGGTTTTATGGTCAACATCCATGTAAATAAAAACAAACAAATAGATGCATGTTATCTGGATGAGACCCATTAGTCTAAGATGTTAAACTCGCAACAGTCCAGAGAGAAAAAATCCACTAAAGCAAACAAGAAAACTGAATTAGGGAATGAAACAAATTCTCACAATACACTATTCATAACTATTTTTTTGAATCCTCCACATGAGTATATAAAATGAAGTCTACACAAAAGTAAGCATTCGAAATAAATGACAACCAAAATAGGACTAATGATCAGTTATTAGGGTGTCGTTCCAGTGTTACACTTTGAATTACATCCTCAACGACACCAAGTTGTTTACAGACAAGTATATTGATGGAAACCTATAAATGTAACAGTTAACACTGGTATATAGTTTGTTAATTATCCCTAAACTACACACTATCCGCCATCATTTCTCAAACTCGAGCAAATTGTGATGTCAATAGCAATCCAGTATGAGACAACGAAATTCTGAAATCATACTAATAAGTTATACTATGATATTGACAGCAGGGCAAGACAACACATTATATGAAGCACTAAAGTCGGACATTAAGATAACTGCAAACATGCTCCACGTTCTCTTCAGGTAGACTTGGGGTGAAGAACAAGTGCCACCAACAGACTGGAAAGAAGGATATCTCATCAAGATACCAAAAAGACGAGATCTGAGCAAAAGTGAGAACTACAGAGGCATCACACTACTATCGGTACCAGGAAACGTTCTCAACAGTGCCGCTGGACCAGATGAAAGATTCAGTAGACACCCGACTTCCAGATCAACAGACCGGATTCCGTGGGGATCGGTCGTGCACAGACCAAATCGCGACACTAACGATCATCGTTGAGCAATCAATTGAATGGAACTCGTCACTATACATCAACTTCCTTAACTATGAGAAGCTATTTGACAGCACGGATAGGAGAACCTTATGGACTCTTTTTTGACACTATGGTGTAGCTGAGGTTTTCAAGGTCGTACGGAATTCTTGCGATGGACTACACTGCAGTCTTGGATGGTTGGTTGCTAACAGACATATACTAAGTAAAGACCGGTGTCAGACAAGGTTGCTTACCTCTTTCTCCTGGTGGTCGACTGGATTATGAAGACCTACACATCTGAGGGGAAGCACGCAATTCAGTGGACAGTTCAAAACCAATTAGACGATTCGGTCTTCGCAGATGACCTAACCCTCCTATTCCATACACACGAACTAGTGTAGAAGCGGCCTCTGCATCAGTAGGCCTCAGTATACACAAGGGAAGAAGTAAGGTCCTCAAATACAACAAGGAGAACACCAACCCAATCACATTTGATGGAGAAACTCTGGAAGCATCATTGATGAACAAGGAGGACCCGATGCAGACGTGAAGGCAAGGATTGGCAAAGCAAGAACAGCATTCCTACAGCTGAAGAACATATGGAACTCAAAACAACTGTCAACCAATATCAAAGTCAGAATGCTCAATACGAACGTCAAGACAGTTCTACTGTACGGAGCTGGAACTTGTAGAACTACCACAAACATCATCAAAAATGTGCAAGTATTTATAAACAATTGTTTATGCAAGACACTCAATGTGCGTTGGTTGGATGTCAACCTGAATTTTACTGGATGGACAAAAGGAATTATTGGACGTTTCCTCAAAGCACAGCTCAATAATGTAGAGGTTAAAAGTGCATTTCGGTGCCAACTAACTAGTCATGAAGTTAATGTTCATCCAGAAGAGGCCTGGGATCACATGCATACATCTGGGGATACATTAGTAACATCATTCAGTAAATTAAAACAGGTAGTTAGAAATGACGTGTAGATTTTAGTAGTATTCGCCGAATTTGAAAGAGCTCGTAAATCCATTCCATCTAATTATAAACACGACAGAAGAGAAGACAACTTAATCGTAAACTGACAAAAGGCCTAAGAAATGATTGTGATCACCGAAATTGAAAGAGATGGGAAAGTTATCAGTGGTAAAAACACTAGACATCTATTCAGACTTTTTGAAGAATCAGGTACAGAAAAGTCTTCTGTTAGTGAGACTATCTCCGAAAAGATGGAACTATGATTCACTCAGCTAAAGCGAATGATAGTTGAGACATTTTAACGAATACCTAAACTGGCCTTCACTTGCTCTCTAGTTGCCCGATATACCCAAACAACCTGAATGATAGTCTTTAGGTGCCGCATGTAATACTCCCTAATCATCATTTTTCATCTACTAGACAGGACTATATTCGGTTGTCAGTATAAAATTTGAGGAACTTCCTCTTAGCTTGAACATTGTCGTGCCGTTCTTATAACTTCTGTGTTTATACAAATAGACAGAAATTATTCACGCCACCTGGAAAACATATCTAATAGAATAAGGGCATAATATTTACAAAGTTCTGTAATAAACAGCCTGACCATTTTTTCAGGGGTGATGCTGATCTACCAAGAAGTTTCTGTGGTAGGCTTATTTTAAATTCACCAACATAACTTGGAGATTTGGCAGCTAGTTAATATATGTCCCCATTCAGCTTAGACACTAACAAATGAGTCAGCCGTTTCGTTATTTTAAATCTTACATGTCCCATGTGTAAATTACCCGAAAACGCTTTTACGTAATGTTGGTGGTATCGGTATATGGTTATACATACATGTTAGTTCATCTAAAGTCACGGACACCCGATTTCTTCACTGACAAAGTCAGGGAAATTTTCTACCAGTTCCTTTATTTCAACCCTCAAAAGTTCTCAACACTTTACAGAAATGTTTCTCCATTCATTTCTATACACAACGCAGGTAATGGTCCCATGGCAACTTGAACCGATGGAACATACGTAGAGTTGTACGTTGCGTTTGACTGACTGACTGTTCTTCTAGGTGGCCGATAAGGTCACAGTTGTCTCATCCACCAAGACGTTCTCTGAAGATCAACCAGTAGCATGGTATTTATCAAACTTTCATACCCACTTAATGTAACCTGTCCTTTCGGAATTATGACAAATGGAACTACGGAATAGAAACGCGAATTCAACTCACTACATGATATGGAGCCGTTCGGCCTGTTAGTAATCGACCTTCAGTGCGTGTGTACCAGTTTTACTGTGTGACGATACACGTGTTATCCAAAACACAATAAACTGATAACTGGTGTCCATAAATACGGCAATTACTATCGACCTATGAAGTCAAAAACGATGCAAGACAGCTAGATATCTGTATTTGCACCCGTCCTATATGGTGAACCGTTAGGAATAGTTGAAAGGTCTGTGTATCTGGGTAGTAGTGTGTGATATTTGTGGAGTGGGAGATGAAATCAAGCCAAGTATAGGGGAAACCAGAGAGTAATCCCAATCCAGGTCAGATTTGGCACCATCGTGATACCTGCTTGGTTGTAAGATTTCGAGTTTACAACGGTTCAATCAATTCTCTATTATCGCCAGCTCAGTATTTAGCCAAGCGTTTTACTGAACATATTTACAAACATAGATACTGGTGGGAACAACTAAATACGAATCTTTTTAAAAATGTATGGTTACTAACCAAGCGATTTGTTTCAGCATATATCAACGGATCCTCAAATTTGACTGAAATGATTTTGTCATGATGTTCATGAATGCAAGTTCCACCTGTTTGATAGCATTCAAGGTAATTCTTTATGTTGTTAATCACGAATTTTTCATCAGGCTCTCCGTTAGTTTCTAGTGTTTATCGAACAATTGTAATGCTAAGTTTACCTTGATTTGCCTCCGGAGGTTCGGACCAAACATATTGCCAAATAGACTTTTTACGGTGAGTTATATCTTCCCCTAGCTTAGAAATACAATAAAAAATGGTAGTCTCAGTTTACCTTAGCAATGTGATCCAAAGCTGTCCTGGAAACCAAATACAATCCGCAATCTCTAAGATCTGAACGACATAAGATAGTCTGTTGAGAGCTAAGAGTTTTAGGAAGTTTAGACTGCTTTTTTATATCACATGCGGGCACATAGCTAATTAGGGTACTGCCATCATTTGTAGTTACGGTTAATTCGCTGGGAATAGACTTGAGAAGTTTGCTTTCTGTCGTAGGGAGAGTTGAAAATACGGTCACCACTGAAGCCTTTTTCCTGATCATTGTCAGAAATATGTCCCGTAAATCGATTTCACTGATAACGGTATTGGAATAAGTTATAAAAAGATAGTTGGATGTTATTGAAGAGCGGATTCTCTGTAGCGTTTCGGATAAAGAGTAGAAGTTAGGAAGTTCGCGAAAGTTAACTTTCATATAACCAGGCCAAAGTTGACGATTTTCATTTAAATAATTCGTTAGACGTATTGTCTGTGCTTTGTTGTGGACTATTGTTACGTCAGATATTTCACTCAGAATAAAAATACTCATCAATCTGCTGAGGACAGTCTCGTTTCCCAAAGGGAGTAAAGAAGCAGAACCTTGTACAGTTAATTGCTCCAGCTCAGGAGATTCTGCGTTGCATATTATTAGTGCTTGCATTACTTCTAAAGCAAAATAACAGGCATATAGTTTAGAGGAACATTAAAAACGACACGTGGTATAATGCTAGTCGCAATAAGTCATAAGTTCGCGACATGTCTCAAACATCCCAGGTTATTATTCTAGTTAAAAAAGGAATATGTTGTTGTTCGGGTGGGAAAATACGTGAAATGCACGTTTACCAATTGACTTCCAGATAGAACAAGTGGTTTTTAAAGTCTTATATTTGCATTATTTCGTTTTGTATCCGTCAACTATTATACTCAAAATGTATTTCAAGAAATTGGTTGACAATGACTGTACTTTAAAAGCTGTACTCGTGCTTAATTGTCTTGAGGGCCATCAGTTACTTTTGGCGAGAGATAATTAAACAGTTTCTATCTGCCAGTAAGTAGTTTTATCATTGGATAGTGCCCGAAGACTCCAGCGCAAACCCAACTTCAAAAATCGGCTAGATTTTGATAATATCAGTATTATATACCGACAGATATTGGGATGAGTAACTCGGACGACCATGCGACAAAAATATCACTGAATATCTAGAGCAAATGGTAGTACAAGGTTAGGGTAGGACTCTAATTTATGGACGAGCCAATCAGAAGCGTTTAAGGAATTTTAAGGTCACGGCGCTAAGTTCAGCGCGAGATGCTCACATTCGATCGTTTTACAGCAGATTTTAGAGAATAGGTGATCGTTGAGAGACCATAGCAGATGGCACTGTCAAGAAGTTCCTGTGTCTGTGACTGCGGCAACTAAATGACCGCATCACGATGTGCAGACTGCCGCGATGACATTGTATTTCGTTGTACTATATGTTGTAGAAAAAAATTTGCTCGAACTGGCACTTTCTTTGCCCGGTCACGGCTAAGGCCTCATGAGCTTATTATACCACTTAAGTTCTGATATTTCGAAGTTGTTACAACAAAAAGGTATTCAGAGTTGTTAGATTAGACCTAAGCCAAACATACAAAGTAACTGAAATACTCACAAGATTTGTCAGGAAGACTACAAGCAACTATCAGTTGAAAATCGCGCCATACCGTTATTCGGCCTTAACCTTGACTGCCAGTTTCGTACTGCTGCATTAATTACTTTTGTTTCTCCTTATCTCCTATTTTGTTTGCCTGAACTTTCGCTTTTCATACATGAACGTATTAACAATTATATTTGTAATCAGAATTTAGAAATGTATAGCACTAATACATAACGTATTTCTGCCGGTCTTCGTCATCTGATTGCAAAATCCAAACTTATCAAAAGGGCTGGCTGTTCTAAATCGTAAGGGAACCTGATAGAGAGAACCAGATCAGCAACAATGACCATACTGTAGAGGCAAATAAATCCCCAAAATAAACAGCTTTGTGATTTTTCGACATTGAATGCTGACCACATTAGTTTTAATGGACTCACCTAGCTGAAGAAGCTCAGTCATGCATCCGCATCAGATCACGAGTGGGAACGCCGTGCTCAGCAATCCCTGCAATCGCTAGCCAGATTAGATCAGTCGATCCTCGAGATATTGATAACCGATCAAATATATCTTCGAACCTTCTCGCTTCTGTCTTTAGATTTCACTTGGTGGGTGCGATTCATATTAGGTGTTACTGGTTAAAGCGTTGTCGAACTTTAAATACCTGTGCCATCTTCAAGACAAATCTTATACTGATTGCTGCTTAATTAACAACGAAAATATCTTGGTCCTGTAGAAGTCAACCAGCCTGAGTATCTCACTGTTTACATCACTGAATGTGATGACAAGTAATAAAGGTTGGAATTCAACACGAAATATCAGTGCTCTTGAGAAAGAGATAAAAATAATAACTAGTATCATCTAGTGAAAAGAACTAAGGTATGGGTTTCCTACCCCGTCTTCAATCACCTAATATTTGTTAAACAGGCAACCGAATGTTGCGAACTTTTGGAGCAGACGTACTTCTTTATCGCACAACAGCTAAGTTGTTTAAATTATCTGCTTTCTAGCGATGTCGATATCTTTCTCCCTATTTACATTATAGCTGTATTGTGAGGGACATGGACCATTATGATTACTTGTAACAAAAAGTGATTTGACGTCTAACAATGCCAAAAAGGTTTATTTGTTCTACTTTTTGAGCAACCAAGTTTTCTGAAAATTACTTCAATACGGACTTAGTAGACTTTTAGGGCCGTAACATCTAGAGATCGTTGTTAGGTAATTTATTTGCGCCAGAAGGGCATGAGAATTTTTATGGCACCCAGAGAGTGTAGTATTTGTAATAACTTGGGATTCCTTTGTACGTGATTAAGCCCTGAATACGAATTCCGTTAATAATCCTTTCATTCGTACTCATTTAGTTCTACCTACTTTTAATAACACTATTCTATTTCAAATACTTTTATTCTTTGATGGTGGGCCCTTGAGAAACTTACATCCTGAGAATTCGATAATCGCGTTACGTTTCGAGAAGAATGACTCTTCTTAAGAACCACATCATTACCACTTAGGAGTTCCTAAAACAGTTCACTTAAAAAGGGCGTAAGGTAACTGATGTATTATGATGTATATCTTCTTTGAAGATTCAGAACTCTTTTTCCATGATGTTATCTTAAAGCTGGATGATTTATAAGAGGTTGCTGGTGATTGTACAGATATATCTATATGTTTATTCGACCTATGAACATATTTTGACAAGTTTCGAGAAAACAAACCACGTAGCTGATGCATCTTTCTGAATCACAGAAGAATTTAAATTGTCACATTTTGCTTCTACGAGATCAGTCTGAATATTTCTTCCGCTGTAGTATTTTGATGTTGCACCAGTTACTCAGCTAAAAATCATTTGTGGTTTGCCTCCTCTGGAAATTGATTCTATCTGTCCCATGCCTTCATTCCGGACTGAATCGAAAAAATTGTGTGTCGTGCAGTTTGTCAGCATCACGCCTGGCTCTGATCAAGTCACGTCTTCATCCAAAAGACACATTTGAGTGATACCAATCACATTTAAAAGAAATTCAGCTTGAAATAGTAATGAGTTCGTCGGACAATATTTCAAGAACAGATCATTTCATTTTTAATGCGATGAGAGGTTTAGCAAATGGATTTCGTGGAGGTATATAGTAGAGTAAACATATGACATACTTTGGCTCCACTTCCTAATTCCCTGTAGACTCAATTAGTAAAAATTGCTCGGTTGCCTAAACAAGACTCTAGACGGATTTCGACATATTCACATGACTACACTTAAAGGCAGAACAAATATTCGAACCTCAGTTCTCCTTGCCTTACATAAGTACTCACACAACAGAAAAGTCCCGTCTAATAAATTAAAGTATTCCAGAGTCCTCTGACGGTTTACACAAAACCATGCATCTATATATTCAAAAGAAATATTTTCCTACCAAGAATTATCCCATTTCTAACTTTGCACTTTACGAAACTTGGTAACCATAAGGTTATTGAAAAAACAGAAACGTTTATTTTCGACGGAATCATTTACTTAAGCTGCACATTTGTATTTATGGTCATATGGTAAATATATGTCTATAGAAAGACATAAAAGATTGCATCATAAAGTGACCCAACATTTCAAATATCAAATGAGGTCGCATAATAGTCAATGGGTTAAAGAAGAACAAAGGGAAGAAAATAGATTACAAGTCAGAATTTTGGAAGATAACTGTCCACCTGACAGATATGAAGAGAAATAAAAAACTTAAAGGTTATATTAATGACTGGATAACAATCACGAACAATTGTTAAAGGATAATAATAACTGATTTCAGTCTAAAATTACAAAACAATAATAAAGAGAAACACGATCGAAGCATGCTACATAAGGCAATCAGGGAACTGGGGGATCAATGACATCTCAGCAGTGTATAATTTTTTATTCCGCCTCTCTTCAACCTAGCTCCTTCGATTGAGTAGATTATTTTGAAGGAAGACTCCTTTGTGTTAACAGGCTATTAAGTGCTACTATATTGAACTGATGGCGATTTTGCATTCTCCTGATTAAAAATCGTAACAATAATGTTTTGAAACGCGTTTAGGAAGTAATCTAACTCAGAGAAGCAAGCAAATTAATTAATACACATCTATGTGGCCTAGAGCGGAAGCTTATCTTTGACACATCCGTGTATGATTGACCGGCCCGAGAACACAATATTAACCCTAGCTGAATAGGTTTTAATAAGGGATTCGTAAGTTTGTTCATTCAAGAGTTCGGCAGCTGTATCTCATAAAAGAGTCTTCTTATGAATTGTCTGTGTGTTTTCAGAATGTTGTCTTGGTGTTAAGATTTTGCCGACAAATCTAAGCGGGTAACCATTTCTGATGAGTATCTGTCGAAGTTGTAGTAGTTCGTCGTCTACTGCGTCATTAGAACATATTTGCCTAGTCCTTAGGGATAAAGAACGAACTATGTTTCTCTTTCCATTCAATAGGACCCATATATGGAAATTCGTATACTGACCACTCAAGACCGGGTTTTTATATATAGATCTTTGTAAAGAACCATCTGACTTTATTTTCCACTGAACATCGAGGAAATGAAACTCCTCGCTTGCCTCTTCGTCCAACGTGAATTGAGTTGAGTGATGACAACTATTGGATCGATCTAATATTTCATTGAGGTTTATTTCCTCTTCACAAATAACGAAAGTATCATCCATATGTCTCTTGTATAAATGAAGTCTTTCTATCATTGGTCCAAATGACGTACTTTCCAGATTGGCCATGAAACAATCAGCCAAGAAGGAGTTCAGTGGTGAACCCATCGCACTTACATAGGCTCGTCTATAGAAATCACTACTGAATCCGAACAGCACACTGAGAGTACAAAACTTACTTACTTACTTACTTACTTACTTACGCCTGTTGCTCCTCGTAAAGGAACATAGGTCTCTCCCCAGCGTTCGCCACCCAACCGTGTCCTGGGCAATCCTATCCAGCTCCTACCAGTTGTTAATATTCTTTCTCATATCTGCTTCTGTTATCCGACGTAATGTGTTCTTTGGCCTTCCTCTTTTCCGCCTTCCTTTAGGATTCCAAGTAAGGGCTTGTATCGCGATACAGTTTGACGATTTGCGTAGTGCATGTCCTATCCATTTCCATCGTCTTTTCCTAATATCTTCTCCAACTGGAAGTTAGGTTGTTCTCTCCCACAAAAGGCTTTTGCTGATGGTATCCAACCAATGCACATTGAGTGTCGTGCGTAAACAATTGTTTATAAATACTTGCACATTTTTGATGATGTTTGTGGTAGTTCTACAAGTTCCAGCTCCGTACAGTAGAACTGTCTTGACGTTCGTATTGAGCATTCTGACTTTGATATTGGTTGACAGTTGTTTTGAGTTCCATATGTTCTTCAGCTGTAGGAATGCTGTTCTTGCTATGCCAATCCTTGCCTTCACGTCTGTATCGGGTCCTCCTTGTTCATCAATGATGCTTCCCAGGTACGTGAAAGATTCCACATCTTCCAGAGTTTCTCCATCAAATGTGATTGGGTTGGTGTTCTCCTTGTTGTATTTGAGGACCTTACTTCTTCCCTTGTGTATACTGAGGCCTACTGATGCAGAGGCCGCTTCTACACTAGTTCGTGTGTATGGAATAGGAGGGTTAGGTCATCTGCGAAGACCGAATCGTCTAATTGGTTTTGAACTGTCCACTGAATTGCGTGCTTCCCCTCAGATGTGTAGGTCTTCATAATCCAGTCGACCACCAGGAGAAAGAGGTAAGCAACCTTGTCTGACACCGGTCTTTACTTAGTATATGTCTGTTAGCAACCAACCATCCAAGACTGCAGTGTAGTCCATCGCAAGAATTCCGTACGACCTTGAAAACCTCAGCTACACCATAGTGTCAAAAAAGAGTCCATAAGGTTCTCCTATCCGTGCTGTCAAATAGCTTCTCATAGTTAAGGAAGTTGATGTATAGTGACGAGTTCCATTCAATTGATTGCTCAACGATGATCGTTAGTGTCGCGATTTGGTCTGTGCACGACTGATCCCCACGGAATCCGGTCTGTTGATCTGGAAGTCGGGTGTCTACTGGATCTTTTATCTGGTTAAGCAACACTCTGTTAAAGACTTCC